TTTCAGGAATCGACGTACCCTTGTAGATGTAAGAAGAGTAGGTCTCCTTGCGGGTCTTGCCGCGCTTCTTCTTCTCGCCAGTGGCAGCGGTGGCAGTCTTCTTGCCAGCCTCCTTCTTCTCAGCAGGGGCCTTGCCGCCAACTGGGGCCTTGCCACCAGTGGAGGGCTTCTTCTCAGCGGCCTTAGGGGGCATTTTGAATGTGGTTTGAAAAGTTGGTTGGGGAAAAAAAAGGAGTTGAAAGAGTTAAAAGGTAAAGATGGATGAAGCGTGTAGGTGGGAAACGGAGATGGAATGTGGAAGGTTAAGTTAAAGAGACGCGGTGACGAGGGGAGAGAGCATCTTTATACTCGTGTTCCAAAGGCTAGTTGATCCTGGAGGGGGTGAAAAGGAGGCCGAATTTCAATACGGTAATGAGCTGGTATGATCTGTATGATTAAACTGACCTTGACGCGTTTTAAGGTGATAAAGGTGGGGTATAATCACGCTCAGGTGACTGTCAGGTATGGTAATAAGGTTATATTACGACACTATTCCCAAAGCGGAATGTCTGATCTGATTGATCATTGGCTGCAACATCTAAGCGAGACTGTGATCTGGAGGGCTCATTGATGCTGTCCCAACGTCACCCTCACCGCGTCCTTATAAAGGTCCTCCGCTTCCACACGCTCTCCCACCTGCTCTTGCGACTTTACACCATAACTCAAGCTCTCCACCTTCAAACAACTCACTTCTCTTTCCACTAAACCCAACTCCCTTTTTTCCAAAAACAAACCATCAAAATGACTGGCGGAAAGTCTGGCGGCAAGGCTAGCGGTAGCAAGAACGCGCAGTCGTAAGTTGTTTACATTTCGCGTCTTATATATATACCTTTCATACTGACATCAACATCTTCAGCCGTTCATCCAAGGCTGGTTTGGCCTTCCCCGTTGGCCGTGTCCACCGTCTGCTCCGCAAGGGTAACTACGCTCAGCGTGTCGGTGCCGGTGCTCCCGTTTACCTCGCTGCCGTTCTTGAGTACCTCGCCGCTGAGATTCTCGAGTTGGCTGGAAACGCCGCCCGTGACAACAAGAAGACCCGTATCATTCCCCGTCACCTCCAACTTGCTATCCGCAACGATGAGGAGCTGAACAAGCTCCTGGGTCACGTCACCATTGCTCAGGGTGGTGTTCTCCCCAACATCCACCAGAGTACGTTATCTCCCATCAACTGTCATTTTAAATAGCATGTACTAACCTTATTTCCAGACCTTCTTCCCAAGAAGACTCCCAAGGCCGGCAAGGGCAGCCAGGAGCTGTAAGGGTTCTCTCTTTTTTCGCGGGTTGTTTGTTTTCTTTTCCGGCGCGGATTGGTTCTTTGACACGATAATGGGGTTATGGGACGGACACGTTATGGCTCTGCGTTTTCTCTTTTTTCTTCCATCAATTTCCTGGTTGTACATTATGTCTACGGACATGGAATGATACCGACGACCTTAACTTGCTTGAGGGGTTTCAACTTTCGGATACTAGCCCTGGGTATGAGCCCAAATCAATGAAAACTCCAGGTCTTTCAAGTGTTAAATCCACCCACTTTTCGTACTTGGTAAATACATTGTGCAAAGACATAGTATTCTTCTGAATTTGCCGCTGTTGTGGTGGCCATTGGCCATTTATTGTACATAAAATGAACTTCTTGATTCTTGATTCTGTTTTGGTACTCTCTACATCTGCAGGAAAGACGCATACTTTATATTGCATAGTTCATGTTTGCAATTGGCTCAATCCTTCATATTGTCTTTTGCAATAGTGATTTGACTTAGTGTGCACCGGGAGGTTGGGCATCTACATGATTTCATGGTTAGTGTAAATCCAAAAAGGTTGTATGTGGATTTAAACGTACATGGCAGGATTGGGGCTGGTAGGTTGCGCTCCCATTTGTTGCCGCCAGGCGCAGTAGGTGCTCGGTATGGGTCAGGGTGCTTCCAGGTTACCAAGAGCTTCTCTGTCTCGCGCAGCAAAACCTAGAACACGTGTCAGGTTTGCCAATCATGGATCTTTGGTGTCGCATACCTGTTGTTGGCGAGGATCGCGGACGTCCTTGTTGGCTTCGAAAAGGGATCGGATATAGACCGCTTGTCCACGCCAGATCTGCCGGTGGACAGCCCAGTCAAGAGACAATTTCAGAGAGCGCCGGTAGAGCGACCTGTAGTAGATCAGTGAACAGTCCATTAGGGAGGTATCAGCCTACTAACTCACTTAACAGCGGAGGTGGACATTGTGCTCAAGTTTTGTCCCGGGTCCAATTCCGGCCAGCTGGAAGAGGAGAAGGAAAAAATAAAATAGTGCGGATGTTGATAAAACTGGTCTATCAAACAGAAATGACAATCTTTGAAGATTGTTAGGGTTCCTGGTGGACAATAGGTCGGGGTTGAGGGTTTCAATGTCGTCAGGTTGACTATTCTGGGCTTCCTAATTCGTTCGGCACAAACTTGCTCAAATGGTCACTGCCGGTCCCCGTAGTGTAAGAAGAATAGTCCGCCTCTGCCGGAAGGGTGTGCCCGGTTTACCTCAGAACCCGATCTAATCCGAGCTTCATCTTCTTTGCTTCCTCTAATTTTTAGAGTTGAAGCTTTTCCCCCTTCTTATAAACCCCGGTTTGGCTTTTCCCCAGCTGAATAAATTTTGCTTTAATTCATCATGGCTTCCCGAATCTCTATTGCGCGCCTCTCGGGCCAGCGCTTCTCGGCTGTGGCCAAAACCGCTCCTCGGGCATCAAGCCAGTTCCGCAATATCAAGGGATTGTCTACCCTCACGCGGAAGACTTCAGCTCGCTCAGCTTCGGGTTTGCTGCAGGTCTCTTCCTCCGGGTAAGTATCCATGTCATGGCCGTCCGTCGCAATTTTAGCTCATACAACCCTATAGCCTCAGTGTCTCGCGACTCAGTCTTGCTCCCCTAGGAGGCCACCAACTTCGCACCTATGGTAATTACTCTTTCTTAAAGCAGTCTCATTGGTCAATTGCTAATAGTGCTTAGCCGACTCCATCATCAAGGTCCCCAGTATGGCTGAATCGATTACAGAGGGTACCCTCAAGCAGTTCTCAAAACGTATGGTCCTTTAGGCGTGGTTGAACATTGGACATTTGCTTATTCTGATATAGAGGTTGGCGATTTTGTCGAGCGCGACGAGGAGATTGCGACAATTGAAACAGACAAGGTAAATACCAACAACTCTGTCCCCACCCCTCATAACTAGTTTTGTCGCTGATATATTTTGTCGTTAGATTGATGTTTCGGTTAATGCCCCGGAGTCTGGTACCATCAAGGAGTTCCTCGTGAACGAGGAAGATACCGTTACTGTCGGCCAGGATCTCGTCAAGATCGAGCTTGGCGGCGCTCCCGAAGGTGGAAAGAAGGACGAGGGCGCCGAGAAGCCCAAGGAGCCCGAACCCAAGGAGTCTGAGCCCAAGAAGGATGCTCCGCCCGCACCCGCCGAGACCGAAAAGCCCAAGGAGCCCGAACCTAAGAAGGCCGCGCCCCCCAAGCAGGCTCCCAAGGCGGAGTCCAAGCCCCAAGCCGCTGAACAGCCAGCTCTTGGTGACCGTGAAGAACGCCGGGTATGTTGACCGCCAACAGACCTTTGACCTTGACTTCAAACTAATTTTGGGTTAGGTCAAAATGAACCGTATGCGTCTGCGTATTGCCGAGCGCCTGAAGCAGTCCCAGAACACCGCCGCTTCTCTTACCACTTTCAACGAGGTTGACATGTCCTCGCTGATGGAGTTCCGGAAACTGTACAAGGACGATGTGCTCAAGAAGACCGGCGTGAAGTTTGGTTTCATGAGCGCCTTCTCCCGTGCTTGTGTGCTTGCCATGAAGGATATCCCCGCTGTCAACGCTTCCATTGAGGGTCCTAACGGCGGTGACACCATTGTCTACCGCGACTACGTTGACATCAGCGTTGCAGTCGCCACCGAGAAGGGTCTTGTCACCCCTGTTGTCCGTAACACCGAAGGCAAGGATCTCGTTGGAATCGAGAAGGCCATCGCCGATCTCGGAAAGAAGGTGAGTAGTTGTTCCTCTGGAGGGGGATGTCCAGTTTACTGACATGTAATAGGCTCGTGACAACAAGTTGACCATTGAAGACATGGCCGGTGGTACCTTCACCATCAGTAACGTATGTTCTTTTTCCCCCTGTCTTTGTGTGTTTAAGAATAACACGGCTAACTTGCTCAGGGTGGTGTCTTCGGCTCGCTGATGGGTACACCCATCATCAACGTTCCCCAAACAGGTCAGTTCTCTCGTACTATCTATCTTTAGGGCTCGCATCTAATTGTGTCTAGCTGTCTTGGGTCTCCACGCCATTAAGGACAAGCCTGTCGCTGTGAACGGCAAGGTCGAAATCCGTCCCGTACGTACAGACCAATCCAGTCACTTTTTCTTCGGTTTACTGATGTCTCTAGATGATGTATTTGGCTCTCACCTACGATCACCGTCTCCTAGATGGTCGCGAGGCCGTTACTTTCCTTGTCAAGGTATGTCTACCTCCTCGTCCACCTGAATCAATCACTAATCCCATCACAGATCAAGGAGTACATTGAGGACCCCCGGCGCATGCTGCTTGGCTAGGTAGCATGAGTGTTTTTGCCACGCGCCTTTTATTATCTATGTTCTCGTACCTGGAGCGGCCTTGCGCCCTTTTGTAAATTATTATGTTCCAAGATATAAATGCCATATCAAGGACAGGTCTTGTAGTGGGCTCTGAGTACTATTCTACTATACTATTCTTCTGTTATGCGTGTGTCGCTTTCGATCTTTATCGGCTGTTGAGAATTGATTGAGATTGAACGATCAATATGGAGACCGAATTAGTGTAGTGTACATGTGGTAATTGCACTTTAAACAACTCGTGATCCACGGCGTTGGCTTTCCCTCATATGGCTCTTTGAATTGGGATCATTAGACATTGAAGAAGCACACAGGAAGGGCGCGCGTTCTCATGTCTTTTTTTTGAGTAGGAATATCAAATTCCACAATAGTTTCGAATCCACTCTGTCTCCTCCCGGGTCAAGCCTTCCAGTTCACCACGCTCCAGCTGAAGAAGAAGGGGCGCATCCAGGACTTCCATAAGATCCTCGAAAAAACCGACGTAACGATTCTGTAGCCATTGAAGAGGCCACACCCCATCGAGCTCTTCTCGGCTCATTGGATCCGCAGTACCAAATGGGGGTGGCATGTACTCCAGGAACATGGTACGGCTAACCTCCCACCATATGTCGAGTTCACTGTCGTTTGTTCTCCAGTTGCATAATCTGTGAAGCTGGTCTGGGAAGCGCACTTGTTCTTCCAGAATCGCATGAACCATGAAGTGGGCACCAAGGTCGAACCAGCGTGCCCAGGATATGTGGGCGATTGCAGAGTGACAGAAGTCCATGAATTGAACTGCGATATCAGACAGGGGCACAAAGTGACCGAGATCACGATCTTTGGGAGGGTCCCAGTGGAGGAATTGATTGGACAAGTAGAAGATGCGCAATTTCAAGTCCAGGTCCCAAGGCAAGGGGCCTTCAAGACGATGACCGAGAAGCCGCCGGTGGAATTCTAGAGCTGTCGTCAGTATGAATGATCTGTTGCTGAGAAGTTCTGATACTTACGTTCAACCAGGAGCGCAGAGCATTCAATATCTTCGGTTGCTCTTGCTTGACGAATTGCTTCTATAAGCCCACTGATACACATGCAGACCAGGTAGTCGAGGATCATCAGATCCACAATGGCATGAACGGCAGGGCTTGGCTCCGGCATTTTGAAGTCCACGCTGAGGCGGGAGAGGGTATCAATTGAAAGGGATATGAATGGTCCTAGATGGGTCCATGGTGCCCTATATGTGCAGCTGTCTCCCACAGTCAACACGCTTAGTCGGCGCGATTAGTCGGCGATTACTTAGGTAGTCTGTCTATATTGGAGGGTGTTTTGATATTCACCTTCACGTGACTCGATTCTATATAATAATTGTATGTGATTATATTCCATTTCTGATATATTTAGTCTTACATTCTTTCCTTTTTACTTAGTCATTTATGTTTTTATATTATTATTATTATTATTATTATTATACTTTGTATATTACATTGATTTTTAACTATAGAAGCAGTTATAGATGTCACGTGTGGTGAATCGAAATATCATGGCGTCATGTATATCTAACATCCCTCACACATATGTACATACGATGTAATTAACCACAACAAGGGAACTCCTCCTCTTCTTCACCTCCATAACACCCCCTCCCCCCCAGTTCATGCTCAATCTACGCATCAAACCAAAATTTAACCTCAATAAAGTACGGGCTATGACCATGGCATGGTATTGTTCTGGATCCACCAACACCGAGTTGATCGAGAACCTATTCAAGGCTGGACTGATCCACAATGAGCGTGTGAAAGATGCCATGATAGGAGTGAGCTCTATTGATTATGATCTGATTCAAGGTCCTTTCTAACATATGACCAAGGTTGATCGAGCCCATTATGCTCCATCACGGCCGTATTCGGACTCACCTCAACCCATTGGATATGGGGCCACTATATCAGCACCACACATGCATGGCCATGCATGTGAGTATCTGATTAATTATCTCAAACCAGGTGCTCGGGTGTTGGATATTGGATCGGGTTCAGGATACTTGACCCATGTCCTTGCCAATCTGGTGACCAGCCCATCTGGCAACGCTCAGGGACAGGTGATTGGTATTGACCATATCCCCGAGCTGACAGAAATAGCTCGTACCAACATGGACAAGTCCAAGAAAGGTAGTGGCTTCCAGGCATCTACAGTTGTCAAGTTTATCACCGGTGATGGACGCCTTGGATGGAAAGAAGGTGCACCGTACGACGCCATCCATGTTGGCGCCGCGGCCGACAAGCTTCATCCAACCCTGGTCGATCAGCTGCGTGCTCCTGGGAGACTTTTCATCCCAGTAGAATCGGAAGACGATGAGAGTGCCATGGATAGTCTCAGTGGTGGTCAATATATCTGGGTGGTGGATAAAAAGGAAGATGGATCCATTCACAAAGAGAAAGTCTTCCAGGTGAGCTACGTGCCCTTGACGGATGCTCCACAAGGATGAGATTGGAATTCAGACATTTTTTCATTTTTATTTTTCTTTCTCTCGTTCTATTCTACAGATGCCCTTGATTTTTTTCGAGTCGAAATCAAAATATAATGAGTTCTTCTGAGCTTACGAAAAAAAAAAAAAAAAAAACAATCCATTTTCTATATCGAAAGACTCCAAGAACACCTTTGGTATGTGTTTCACACAGTCAAAGACAATTCAATTAGCGGAATCCACCAGGGAATTTGAAACCACCTTGGAATTGTGGACCACCCTGTTGGAAGAAGAACTGTTGACCACCGCCACCGAATGGGTTGCCTTGGAATTGACTGCCCCGTTGTTGCGATTCAGGATCATTGGGATCGTCGCCGTTGTCAAACCGTGTCCGGAGTTCCGAGTCGGATAAAACCTCGTAGGCTTCATTGATGGCCGCCATCTTTTTCTCTGCTTCCTCCTTGCTTACACCCTGAGCGTTGGCCTTATCAGGATGATGTTGCTTCACTAGCTGGCGATACGCGCGCTTGATCGTCCGATCATCCGCATCGCGGCTAATACCCAGGACCTTATAGTAATCTTTCTGCTTGGAACGCTTGAGTAAGGTCTGAGCCTTTTGTTGGAGAGATTGCGCCTCTTGGGAATTGGGGTGGTGTTCCTTGGCCGATTCGAGCGTACGTATGGCGTCCTCGAATCGATCCTCGTCCAAAGCGATCTGGGCTTTATACAGGAGCCCGGCAAGTGAATGAGGAACAAGCTGGAGAGCTTCGGCGCAGTAAGGACCAGCCTTTTTGATCATACGCATCTGCGTATGTTAGGGACAGAAAAAAAAAAAAAAAAAAAACAAGCCATATGACCATAATAACGGTGGGAACTCACTTCACGGTAAGCTTCGCAGGTCTTCTCGACCAGGAATGTGTAAAGATTATCGGGTGCCAGGCGATGAATATGGTTAGCCTGTCTTGCTTCTTCAACATCGGCCTTCACGTCTGCAATCAGTCCAGTAGATTCACTATCGCCGACCATAAGATTTGCTGCATTGCTGAATTTGCGTGACCCCAGGGCAGTATGTAATTTTTCTAGCTGTTTGGCAAGCTTCCGTTCACGTCGATAGAGACGGTTGCACGGTTTTGAGTCGGGATCGGCATGGAGACATTTACGGATTTGAGCAAGGCCACGGTCACTGTCTCCTAGAGAGTAGAACAGCATGGAAGACATTTGCAGGTGAGGTTCGACCAAGCTCGGGGACATTTGCAAAACATGCGCCAAATCACTAAGCCCTTCTTCCGTCTCGCCTTTTTCAAAGTGACAATGGGCTCGAGCCTGTCGTAGAGATAGTGCCGTATTTGCCTTTAGGATGGCCACATTTGCCTCCAAGACACACGTCTCCCAGGCGCCCTGCTTTTCGGCATTGAGAGCCAAGGTTGCCGCATCTCGTGCGGCTTCTAATTCCTTGTAATCATCCGTTGACTTCTTTCCGGCCCGCTCGAGATCTTGCAAGGCCTCTTGCCAATGCGCGGAGCGTGCGTTCAAACGGGATCGCTGTAGAAGAGCGCCCTCGAAGTCCGGTTTGAGCTCTAGAACTCGATCAAAGTCACTCGAGGCTTGTGAGTTTTTGCCGATGGATAGATAAGCCGCGCCCCGCTGGAAGATCGTGATATAGTTGGTTGGGTCGCGCGAGACGGCGGCGTCGAAGTATACCACAGCATCTCGGGGTGAGCCCTGCGCGAGATGGGCTTTGGCGGAAGAGATTAATTCAGAGAGAGGTGTATCCGAGGGAATTTGAAGAGCGTATCCAACCGAGATACAAGCCAGAAAGGCCGTGAGTGATTCCAAGGAAACGAGCATCTTGGGGAATATGCGACGCGGTAACGATGTAGTAGTTAATTGGGAGGTGTAAAACGAGGGATTTGGTGTAGAATGAGTCTCCCTAGGAGTAGAAGAAGAGGGACATAATCCAAAAAAAGAGAGAAAAAAAGAAAGATGTAAAAGCGCAAAGAAAACAGAAAACAATGTTGTAGACAAGGGAAGTCGAAGTCATACTCCGTGGCCTTTACGCCTCGTATTGTTCCGTTACCGTCATGTGACATCGAATTATCTCCAATTGCTTTCGCTCCGAATTTTGGATCTCCCTCATTACTCTGATTCGAAGTATGCTCGTCAAGTCAATATGTCAAAATATCTTACGGCCTAGGCTTGGTTTGAAATTGTCGCCTTTGCGAGGTGTACATTCCAGTAAGACTAGATTGGTTACTTCTCCGATCAAATGCTAATTGCGTCTGAAGTATCCGATTCTGCCTTGTCTCCAGCTCTTTTGACCAGAGCACGTCTACTCGAAGCTGAACATACAAAGCTTGCAGAACGTCTGGGAGAGTCCTTTGATGCAAAAACCGCCAAGCGAGCCGGGGAATTAGCACCGATTGCAAATATCTTGAAAGAATGGGTTAATGCCAACGATGTATGCGCCTTGGGAGACCTTCATTGGAGCCCTACTAATACCGCCAGTCTATCGTCGAGCTCAAATCTCTATTAACCGATCCCAACACCGATGCCGAACTCCGGTCTTTAGCAACAGAAGACCTTGAAAGCAGTCGCGATGCCTTGCCTACAATATCAGACCGACTGAAGAAGGCTCTCGTTCCGCGACATCCATTTGCAGACCTTCCTTGCTTGCTCGAAATTAGACCTGGCGCAGGCGGAGATGAAGCAGGCTTATTCGCTTTTGAAATGTTACGGATGTACGTTGCCTTTTGCTCCCGAAGGGGCCTCCGCCCAACAATCTTGAAGCAGGACACAGAGGTCGGCCCGTCCGACGACCGTCTCAGTGAAGCGGTAATTGAAATTGAGGCCAATGGTGCATACGATATATTACGGACCGAATCGGGAGTACATAGGGTGCAGAGAGTACCTGCAACCGAGACCAAGGGTCGCACCCATACCAGCGCCGTCAGCGTAATGGTCTTGCCGAGTTTCCCAGAGGACGGTAGTGAGATGGATAGTGCTCTGAACTTTGAAGATCCAAACAGCGATTACTACATTGACCCGCAAGAGGTACGGGTTGAAAAGATGAGGGCTGGAGGTGCTGGTGGTCAGCACGTCAACAAAACCGAGTCCGCCATTCGACTGACCCATATTCCCACGCATACGGTCGTCTCCATGCAAGACGAACGATCCCAGCAGGCCAATCGGAGAAAGGCGTGGCAGATGCTTCGGGCAAAGCTGGCCGAAGCCCGACAAGAAGCCCGCGAGCAAGAACTTATGCAACTCAGACGAGGTATACTGGGTGGTGTGGCCAAAATGGGTCGAGGCGACAAGATTCGAACCTACAATTTTGGTCAAAGTCGCTGTACCGACCATCGCACAGGCATCACGATCCACAATCTGGATGGCATTCTTGATGGCGGTGATGGTTTGGACATTGTGATGGACAGTGTGCGGACCTGGATGGCTGATAGTGAAGTTGAGGCCATGGTTGCCGAGGACATGGCAAAAGCAAAGAGTAAATAAGCAGAGTAAAGATATCCCATGTAATTCTATTAAGGCCCGAGTCTATTTTGATGTTCTACAAATACTTTCGCTCCGGATCCAACATATCCAGCCCATCCATAGTCTTCTCGTACCTATCCAACAGTTAGCAACTTTCATACTATGACTTGGGGGTTGGACACAAACATGGTGAACACAATTCCTCCACTCATGATCAATCTCGCAAGTCGTGGCATAGCGCCAGACCACAAAGTGAAGACACCTTCATCCTTGACGATTCTTGTTGCGCAAACAATGCTGTTCTTGTAATGCTTGCTGGCCTCGAGTGATTGCATTCTGACATCGTTAGTACCATATGTATATATATATATCTCACTCATTAGCATGTCGGGATATCAACCTTGTCTTGACTGTGTCCAATGGTTGAGTCACATAACTGATTCATGTTAGTTTGGATTTGTCTGATCTCCTTCAGGGACCATGTCTTACACAGTGATCAGCCCTGCAATTCCACCAATCCCGAAGGTGGCTGCAGTGCCTAGCTTTTCGCCTGGCGCCGTATAACCCTCTGCAAACTGCTTCAATGTTGTGTAGGCTGTGAATCGGGTTGCCGAGTTGGCGGCCTGTCTTGCCGTGGTGGGCACAAAACCTTGGAAGAAGCCCTTGACACCTCTTTCCTTGAAAATGAGCTTGCTACCGTGCAAGAAACCACGCATCCGAGGGTTGGCAGACTTCCGGTCGTCGATCCTATAGTTTGGTCAGTAGAGCCCGCCAGATATAGGACGGGAACTTACAATTGAGTCTTGATGCTTTCAAAGGGAGTGACGGCGAAAAGAGACTCGGTGAATCCAGCACCAAATCCAGCAACAACCGTCCTTGGCCCTGAGATCTTGCCGTTCTCATCTTGGAGAACCGATTTTATGGCATCGAAAGCGACGAATCCTAGTATGTATCAGCGACAGCCCATACAATGCCACATGATGGGGGAGATAGACGGACGAATTCCAGCCTTGAGTGAGTTTCCGATAATCAGTGTTGTACATCCTGCATACCACTGGCTTCCGAATGGTGGCCATGGTAACTTTTGGCCTTGGGTGAGCTGGCGATTGAGTTGAGTCCGGGTCTTCGCAACTGCATAGGATTAGTAACAATTGTTGTAAGACATTCGAAGAGTCATACATTCGGCCGGGTATGTGATCGCTGTCAGGATACGGTTAGCTAGTGGCCTGGTAGGGGTCATTGAGCTCTTTACCGATCTCCACGGCTCCGGCAGTGGACCCCGCAAGGATGGAGCGAAGGGCGCTGGGCTATTTATTGGTGAGCTTTAAACAGAATATCTTATTTGATTGGAGAACGAACCTTGGCCTTTTGATCCTTATTCACCGTCGCCATTTCTTTTTGGGTAGTTTGGAGGAATTGTAGTTCGCCGAACCTCGGAGATCCAACGATATACGGCCTTCGGCACGTGCCATTACCGCAGTCGATGTTGGATTATTATAGAATCAGCCAAAGACAACTCATTCATACATATAGTT